CTCCGAGATTTCTGGCACGAGCCTCCTATGGCTTGGCAGTCTAATTTCCACCGGGACCATTGCTTCAATGCCATAGGCTAACACAAAAGGGGTTTCTCCTGTGGTTGTCCTATAAGTTGTTCTATACATCCACAGTATAGAAGGCAGTTCGTCGGACCAAGAACCCATAGCATTGGTAATTCTTGTTCGGAGGTCTTGTAATATGATTCGATTTGTAACCTCGGTCAGACCATTGCTCTGAGGATGCGAAACGGATGTCAGACGGTGATCAATCCCAAGGTTTGAGCAAAAGTCTCTAAACTATTGATTGTCAAATTGCCTGCCATTGTCAGTGATGAGGACCTTCGGTATCCCAAACCTGCAAATGATAAACTTCCAGGTGAAGGCTCTTAGCTTGGGCTCCGATATCGTGGCGAGAGGTTCGACCTTTGCCCATTTTGTGAAATACTCTACTGCTACAGCAACAAACTTTAATTGACCTCTTGCCACAGGAAAGGGGCCGAGGATGTCAACTCCCCATTATTCAAATGGGGCCGAACAGTTAATGTTGGTGAGGTTTTCGGCTAGTGAGTGGATAACATTACCAAACCTCTGGCATCTATCACATCTCTTAACATATTCTAAGGCGTCTTTCTTCATAGTTGGCCAATAGTACCCATATCGTATGAGTTTAAAGGCTAGGGCCCTGGCTCCTTGATGATTCCCGCACACACCTTCATGAACTTCAGCAAGGGCCTGGGATGATTCTGATGGTCTGAGGCACCTTAGGTATGGAAGAGTAATGCTTCTGCGAAAGAGGACATCGTCGATCATGCAGTACCTAGGAGCTCGAGCTCTGATGCTTCTAGCCAACCTGGCATTGCTTGGTAGATTTCCATTTGTGATGAATTCTATGATTGGGTCCATCCAAGATGGTTCGTTGTCAATGTCCATGACATCGGGGATTTGATTGATACTGGGTTCTGTGATGACTTTGATGTGAATTGTTCTGTCCAGGTTGTCTATCCCCATGAACACAAGCCTGGATAATGCGTCGGCTTTTTCGTTGTCCTTTCGAGCAATTTTTGTAATTTCACAACTCTTGAATTTTCGTTGAAGATCCTGAACATTCATACAGTACAAACTCATTTTCTCGTCTTTCCTTTCAAATGATCCTTCAATCTGTCCGACCACCAGTTGTGAATCGCTGAATATCTTCACGAACTCGAGCTCAAGGCTAAAGGCTAGCTCCAGAGCAATAATGACGGCCTCATACTCGGCCTCGTTATTGGTTGCTTCAAACTCGAACCTAAGAGTACATTGAATCTCCGTTTGTTTGTCAAGGCTGATGATGATGACCCAAGCACCCGAGCCCGAGGAGTTTGATGCTCCATCTACAAAAATTTGCCAAGTGTCCAAACTGGTGCTCATGCTCAAGCTTTCTCCTAGCCCCCCAGGCCTAGGGGTTAGTTCTGCAATGAAGTCGGCTAGTGCTTGGGCTTTAATAGATGGGCGTGGTTTGAATTCGATGTCAAATTCTCCTAGCTCGATCGCCCATTTCATCAGTCTTCCTGAAACGTCCGGCTTTTGAAGTATATGCCTAAGTGGTTGATTAGTGAGCACCACAATAGGGTGAGACTGAAAATACTACCGGAGTTTTCGTGCTGCTATCACCAAAGCAAGGGCAAGTTGTTCCGCCAAAGTATACCTCGTTTCCGCATCTAGTAGGGCCTTGCTTACATAGTAGATAGGTTGTTGGACTCTGTTAACCTCTTTCACCAAGACCCCGCTGACCGCGTTTTGAGATACGGCCAGGTACAAAAATAAGGTGTCACCAGGCTCAGGCCTAGTGAGAATAGGAGGAGATGCCAATGTTTGCTTAAGTTCCTGAAAAGCTTTCTCACAGTCTTCACTCCAATCAAAGCCTTGGTTTCCTCTGAGGACTTTAAAGAAGGGATAGCACCTGTCTGATGCTCGGGACATGAACCTGTTCAAGGCTGCTATCCTACCAGTCAACCTCTATACCTCTTTCTTGTTCCTTGGTGATTCCATAGACGCCAAGGCTTGTATTTTCTCAGGGTTAGCCTCTATCCCCCGATGAGTGATCATAAAGTCCAAGAACTTGCCCGAGGCCACGCCAAATGCACATTTTGCAGGGTTCAACTTCATTTCGTACTTTCGAAAGGTGTAGAAAACCTCTTCAAGATCTGAAAAATGTTGGTCCACCTGTTTGCTCTTGACCACCATGTCATCAACGCACACCTCCACATTCCTTCCAATAAAGTTAGCAAAGACTTTGTTGATGAGCCTTTGGTATGTTGCCCCTGCATTCTTCAAACCGAAAGGCGTGACCTTATAACAGTATATGGCGGAATCGGCCATGAATGAAGTCTTTTCTTGATCTTCCTCGGCCATGAGGATTTGATGATAACCAGAAAATGCATCCAAGAAGCTGTATAATTTATGTCCAGATGTGCTATCTACCAAGTTGTCAATCCGTGGTAGGGGATAACTATCCTTTGGACATGCTTTGTTAAGATCTGTGAAGTCAATGTAGACCCTCCACTTACCATTGGCCTTCTTCACTAAAACAACATTGGCAAGCCAATTGGGATATTGGACCTCCCGAATAAATTGAGCACTAACGAGTTTGTTAATTTCTTCGTGAATGACCTCCCGACGTTCTGGAGCAAACTATTTTTTCCTCTGCTTTACTGGTCTGGCCCCTGGGCTAATGTTAAGCCCGTGGACTGCAATTTTATGGTCTATCCCTAACATATCCTCAACCTTCCAGGCAAAAACGTCAATGTTGCGAGATAAGCAACCAACAAGTTCTGTCTTCAGGGTGACGTCAAGATCCCGACCAATCGTCACCTTTTTATCATGCTCGAGCTCAATTTCCATCAATTCTTTGACAGAAGCAAGTCTAACTTGTTGCCCGGCCTCGGGCTCAATCCTTGAGATTTGCATGACGTCGTTATTTATTTCTCGAACGCTGACAACATAGCATTGTCTGGCAGCTGTCTGGTCTCCACGCACGACCCCAACGCCATTACTTGTTGGAAACTTCATGGCTAGGTGGAAGGTAGACACAATGGCTTTGATCTTGTTCAGGAGTGGTCTTCCCAAAATAGCGTTATAGGCCATCGAGACACGTACCACTTGAAAAGATGTCATCTCCGTAACCTGTTTCTGGCCAGAACCCAAAGTTAGAGGAAGCTCGACGACACCCTCTGGAGTGATGACTCTTTTTCCAAACCCCTGGAGAGGAGTTTTAACCGCTTTGAGCTGCATTCCCGTTGTCAACCAAGATTCTCTTTACTTCAAAATTGGCCACAATTGCTGAGATGACCAAGGCGTCATCATGTGAAAGTGATATACCTTCTAAGTCCTCGATCCCAAAAGTAATATCATCCAGCTTTCCATGAGGCATCCCAGAGACCAAGGCATATTGTCGGGCATATTGTTTTCTTCCACTGTTGGAGTCTTCTCCCGAGGCAATACCCCCTATGATGATATTGATGGTTCTAGCAGTGGGTTGACCATCCCTTTTTGCCTCAGGGGTTTTTTCCCTACCACGATCGTTCCTTGGACGTTTGTCGTTACCAACGTAGGAACTCAGGAGTCCTCTTTTAATAAGGGCTTCAATTTCCCGTTGCAGGGCCTTACAGTTCTCCGTGGTATGCCCATGATCCTAATGGAACTCACAGTACTTGTTCATGTCCCTGGATTCGGGTGGTGACCTCATTCTGACAGGCCATTTGAGTTCCTTCATATCCTTGATTTCCATCAATATATTTGCCTTTGACGTATTTAAACGCGTGAATGACGTCGGGAGAACCTCCCGTCTCTGTTTCTTCCGATGTTGTTCTTCACGGGGGTTCGGGCGTGCTGTCGTTTATGCTCGACCCTGTCATGGGGTGGTCCAACCTTTCTCGGGTTCAGTGTTTCCTCCATATTTATGTACTTCTTGGCTCGGGTAAGAAGCTCGGTCATTGTCTTTGGCGGAATTTTGGATAAAGACATCTTGAAAGCCTCACACTTTATGACATATGTGAGGGCAGAAACTGCTGCAGTTATATGTAGGTCGGGAATCTGAAGTCCTTCCTTGTTGAACCTGGTCATGAAGTCTCGTAGGGTCTCATTTTGCCCTTGTCTAAGTTGCATGAGGGAAGTCGCTGTCTTCCTGATGCGTTTACTGCTTGCGAAAGCAGAGAACTTGTCCGCCAAATCCGAGAATAAGGCTATGGAGTTGGGCTTTAAAGTTGAGAACCAATCCCTAGCAGCATTCGTCAAAGTTTGCGGGAAGGCCTTACACATCACCTGATCTGGTGCGACCTGTAGATTCATGACGTCCGTGTATACGTTAAGATGATTGATTGGATCGGTGGTCCCATCATACTCTTTGATCCTAGGATACTTAAATCTGTCTAGCAAGGGGGATGCCAATATTTCGGGAGTAAAGGGAGTGTTGGGACTAAATCTTGTCGTCCCTTTGTTGCCCTGAAGTAGGCCCGTCATAATTCCTTCTTGAATAATCCTAGCGAGTTCCCCGGACTCCATGGTTACTGATCTCGAGGCCGAGGTCACATGTGGTATACCCGAGGCCCCTGCTCCGCCATTGTCAGGGACATGTCTTTGAGCTCGAGCTCGAGCATCAGCCATAAAACCCCCCTGGGGTTCTGTGTGGATGACGGATGCGAATTTCTTTGACTTAACAACTGAGTCAGTGTGGCGACCTGTTGTCTGAGCTCTTCAAAGGCTCCAGCAGTAACGACTGCCGGCTGGGGCTCTGGCACTTCTGATGATTCCTCTTGAGGAGTAGGGACATCCTCAGGAAAGGGTTGGTTTGGAGTGGATGAGCTTGCTGGTGGAAGACCTGAACGTGTATTTACCATGACTTTTGGTAGCGCTTCCCACAGACGGCGTCAATGATGCTACCAAAAATCGTACCTGTAAATTTCCCGAACTTGATGATTGATGAGGAGTACGAACGTGATCTTCCGATACCTGAAACAAAGGCAACGAGATGTGTTCTCGTTGCCCCTCCGATGCTTAAGTTAGAAATGGAATTATATGCGTGAGACTATGTGCTGGAGAACAATGAAAAACGTACATGAATAATGGCTCAAGGTTCTGTATTTATAGTAGTAAGTGACATTCTCCTAGTGGAACTCAACTAGCTGGATGTCCCTATCTGTTGGAGTCGTGAATAGTTAAGGAGTTGGTTGAATTCCATAATTATATATGGGATAGAATCCTTGCAGGAGTTAAGAATCCTAATTGCGTAGGAATTTTAAAGGGTCAACCATCGTTGGTTGTGAGGGGAGCATATGCCCGAGGACTCTGATGCTCGAGGACAACATATTTGCAATATGCGAAGCAGCCAGACGGATGTGGTCGGGCTTAGTGTCTCGAGGATGCACATGCTCGAGGACACCGTCGATGGATTTACAACTTTTACCAAAAATAGTCGTCGGAATAATGTGTTGATTGGAGATATTGAAAAAATGTCACCATCATAAACTAACGCAAGAAGGAAGAAGAGAAAATAAGAGAAAAAAGGAGATTTCCTTAAAGTATAGAAAAGTGTTTCGACGCATTTGTTTAGGAAAAGAGAGAAGAAATAATCATAAGATTGCTAATCGTTTTTATACCGTTTTGTATTAAAGCTGGAAAGCTGTATTTATAAAAAGGCACAGTGCTGAAATCGAGCTTTGGGCCTTACCAACTCGAGTCTCGACCAAATTTTAGCTTGGCACACTAACCTTGTTTTTTATTTTCCAGTTACATATCTTCTAATAATAAAAAATTTTGATGTATAAATTGCATAGGACAAATAAAAAATATAGAAATATATAAATAACAACCTTTTTCTTAATTGTTTAATGTAACACAACTTTTGTTGAAAAAATTAAAATTATATAATACAGTTGAAAAGTAAGCCGTGAAAAATGAGTGTTCAAAAAAGAAAGCAAAATTTTCGTTTAATGTATAATATTATTTTTGAAGGATTGTGTGATAAAAAATAGGATAAACAAATAAATTATAATGGAATCAAAGTTAATAAAACCAGATCAAAACTAATATTTCAAATAATTTTTTTTTTTTAAAATGTGTTATTGAAAAAGAAGGAAAAATTATCTGTTCATGTGTAATATTATTTTATGAAAAATTATATTAAAATAAAAAAAAATGAAAGAGAACGTAGGATTAAAATCAAGATTCCAAAGTGAAACTCACCGCTGAAGTATAATAAAACACCCAGTCCATTACATTACAAGCTTTGAAACCTAAATTATAGCACCAAACTTCCGTTGTTAATTTTTAATACATAAAGTCACCAATCACTCAATTTTGACATGGACAACATCAGACCTCTCCTCTTGTTTAATTTTAGGTATGAAAACTTTGAGAACACCATTTTTCATCTCTGCTTTGATCTCATCAGTCTTGTACAGTTTCTCCGGAAGATCAATTCTGCTACTGTACCTCCTCCCACCCTCTTCGTCCTCGAATTCCTTCTTGCCCTCGCCTTTGATGATTAGAGTATTTTGTTCCACGGACACCTTGACTTCCTCCTTTCCTAGCCCCGGCATGTCCATTCGGAGATAGAGACCGTCGTCAGTTTCCCGAGCATCCCAATTTCTGGGAACCCCCGTGGCAACAGGTGACTCCATGAACTGGTCCATCATGTTCAGGATTTGGCTTAGGCTCCTTGACGAAAATGGATCAAACACCCCTACATTTCACAAAACTAATTCGCTTAGTAGGCAGAGAAATGATGTCTTCATAAGAGATTTTACAATAGTTGAATACGTAGCTCGTCCATATGTTATGACCTTCTAATTAGTTCAAATTTAAGAGTTGAATTTGTAAATCGATTAAGCATACAAAATCCCTGTACTGATTTGACGAAAATACCAGTACTATATAAAAACGGAAATCTAGAAAAAGAGAAACACGAAATAACGAAGACGTACAGAAGCTATTAAATAAACAGTAATTCAAAAATTCAAGAATAGATGAACAACAGCATTTCATTCATAATCATACGTTTTGGTTGTGCTGATATGCTTGGGTAGCAGACAGTGAGTGCGTAGAGGACCAAGAAGACGACTACCTGAGAACGGGGAGAAGACACGTCGATCAGATTGGCGATCAATGTCGAGATCACGATCATCGCGGTCGTACTGGCGCATAGCATTGGTGTTAAATAAGCGTGAGGTGCACGGCTGAGCCACCGCACAGACAGGACGGAGGGACCGGGAGAGCATGTTCGAAGACCACAGCCTTTTCATTGCGAGTGAAGACGCCATAGCTACAATGATGTAATCCAAAGCTAGTGAAAAACGGAGTAACAGAAAAGCGTAGTGGAAGGTTGTGTATAGTGACACACGTACTACAATGATGAATTTATAGCGACAGAACGTTTTAGGTAGAATTTACGAGAGACATTCAAGAAGGTTCTGGAGATGTTCTTGGCATCGACTTCCCAGTTTGGGCCTTGACACACTGGGCCTAGTGAGCTTAGCCCATGTTTAACCACCATTATATTTTAGAGAAAATTACATCTTGCCCTATCTTTAAAGATTTGTGATCTAAAACCAGGTAGGAAATTTCACTTTTCAAAAATTAGATATTTTATTTTATTTAATATTTTCATAAAATAAATACTTTTACTAAATATCTATACTCTAACACACATTACAAACCCTAATTAATTCACACTCACCTATATCTCTCTATGCAAATCGATTGCCTCACTTCACTCTATCTCTCTACACCAACCCTTCCCCGTCTATACAACTTTGACGTTGAGGCATGGCATCGGAGGCGCAACCGTCTCTTCATCTCAATGGACTGTAGCTTAACCACTTTGCCTAAGTAACAGCATTGGTGGAGTTGAGGCGCGGCAATGCGATGCGCCTCATTGGTTTTTCTTGGATCTAAACTTTCTTCAGCATTGCAGATCACGGCAGCGACTTGAACTTTTCTTCGATGTCACGGATCACAACGCTGCTTGTGGAGGATTCTATGGTGATTTTGCGACGTTGTGCGATTATTTTTATGGTATTTTTTGGCATGTTTTGTTGCAATTTTTGTTGTGGTGTGTTGTGGGCATGGTGGTGGTGTTACGGGTACTATGGTAAGGTAATGGTGGTTCTAGTGTCGGTGGTGCTCATGATGATGGTTCTGGAGGCGGTGATGCCATGATCACAGCTGCCATGTTTAGCATTATGGATTTGCTACCAGAAGGTAGTGGTAGTGGGTCTGGTGATGGTGGATTCAACGACGATGCGACTAATGGCATAGTGAGGCGGTGGTCAAAAATGATATGGTTGATTGTGACCATTAATTAAGTTGATTAATGTGTGACCAATATAAACAATATGTGACCAATAAAATATATAAATTGTAACATAAAAAATTATTAATTTGTGACCTAAATATAATATATGACCAATTAATTTAATATCTTTGTGACCATATAAAATTTGTGATTTGTGATCAAAGAATAATATATGACCAACTGATGAACAAATTGTGCCTACAAAGTTTCGTAAAACAAATCTGACATAAAAATCTGATTTGTGGCCGAAAAATAATACACAAATCGTTAATTTATGACCAAATTGTATAGATCTATGACCTAATTATATATATGTGTGTGTGTGTATAATTAAATCATAAATAAAATTTAATAAATATCTAATTTTTGAAGTTCGAAACTTGTTTTCTTGATTTTGAAATGTGTGATACTTAAATTTTTATTTATGAATTTTTCCCAAGATTATTATTATTTTTTTTATTTTTTGGGAAAAATGAGTTTGACATTGTATTTTTTGGAGAACATATTGATAAATGTAGTTTCTACACTTATTTGGGATCTTAAATGATGATATTTTGTTATTATTTGAACGGATTAGTACCTGATTTGTTATTTATTACTTTTATTAGGAAAATTTCATGTTTCAAAGAAGAATTGAAAAAAAGAACGAAAAATGGCTAAATGAAGCAAATCCAAAGTGCGTGGACCAAAGTATACATAGCTAATGGTTGATTTCGACCGCAAAAGATACTTTGAAAATTGATAGGAGTCAATTGAATGCAAATTGGAGTCAAAAAGGAAATGGATATGATTAGAATATTACCATAAATCGACTTCCAATCATATATGATATTTTCAAGATTTTTGGTCAAATTGAGACCCATTTTCGGATGGAGAATGTTTGAATTGGAAAAATTTTATTTCTAGAAGAATTGTAGATATTTTAATTATCTTTCCAATACACTTTGAATCACCTAAATCGGACACCGAAAGAGAAAGTTATGATCAAAATATTAAAAACTATGCAGAGACAAAATTATGTGCGCGTGAAAGCAACTTTCCTTATTTGATTCAAACTCTTTTGGAAGGCAACTTGGACGTGAATTTTGACCTAATTTCATCATATAAATACAAGATATGGTCAGTAACGAAAGGGTCTCTCTCTTGCCTCTTCATACACAATAGTTGCATCAAATCCATCAAGAACAATGGGCCAATTGCTATATTTTGAGAAAGAAGATAAAGCCATAACAAGGAATTGAAGTTCAATTAAATCAAGTTTTGAAGAATTCAACTTTGGACGTGAAGATCAACATCTTTTGTATTCTTTCATAATTCGGGTGATATTTTTCTATTATTCTTCTTGTAATTTATATATTAATATGTTAGTTTAGTTTTTCATTGTATTGGATGAGATGAACCATATTATTTATTTATTTTAATTCAAGACAAGTATTTAGTTTAATTCGTGTGTTACTTGATTAATTTTGCATTCCCATTGCACTATTGAATTGTTTGGCCATCAATTGAATAGGTAGTTGCTTGTTGTAGTATAGGAATACTCACAACGAGTCTAGAACACGGCAAAATTAACATGTATAGTTAGGATTAGGAATAATATCTATCATACATGCAATCATATTGATAACTTAAACTAAGTGCATGATTTTCATATAAATTCGGACTAGGAATATGATTGGGTCATGTTAATCATAGGTTGGTGTATCTTGAAAAAGAACATTTAACATATTAGTGTTATCGATTGTCAAGAACTCGTGAAAGAAATTAGATTATGAATCAAGAATTGAAATAAATAGCAATAGGCAGAGTCAAAATCCAATACAATCCTTCATAATTTGATAAAACCCTAATTTTTATTGCTTTCTTAGATTAGTTTAGTTTAAATCAAATCAAAATATTTATTTTATTTTTATAACTAGAATTTCATATGAAACTAGTAAACTTGAATTAAATTTATTCTCTGTGGGACGATAACTCTTAACTCACTTATTATTACTTGTCAACGATCTCGTATACTTTCGAGTATCACACGAACAAATTTTTTGCGTCGTTGTCAGGGAATAAAGTTTTAGTTTGAGTTTATTAGTTTACATTGGATTTGAATTTTTTATTATTTTATTTATTATTTTTGTTATTTTAGACTTTAATCGTCATACCTAATTTCTTCCTATTTTACTCTTAAGGCTTTTACTAAATCTCGAAATCGAAAGGACCTTTAAACAACGCTAAGAGAACTAAGATGAACGAGGGTAATGGCTGAGAATCAAGATCAGATTCAAAATGCACTGCAGAATGCAGCACTTCAGGTTCAACAACCACCTCCAACTCAGCCTATATTGGTTAGAGATTATGTGAATCCAGTACCTGCACCGATTCAACCTCCTATTGTCTATTTACCGTTCAGACAAGCAAACTTTCACATCTGACCAGATGTCATAAATCTTTTCCAGAATCATCAAGACATCAGGTTCAGCGGGAAAGCTACGGAAAATCCACACGAACATATTCAAACTTTTACCATGCTTTGTGATGTCATTAGCCATGAGGGGATGTCACAAGATGCATTTCGAATGCGTTTATTCCCACACACTTTGAAGGAGGGTGCGAAAATACGGATGATGTCACAACCTCCTGGGAGCATCGTATCGTGGAATAACATGGTACAAAAATTTACCATGAAATTCTTCCCACCATCTCGAGTCCACCAAATCAGAAATGAAGTATATCTTTTCAAACAGAAGGATCATGAGACATACCTGGAAGCATGTGATAGGTTCAAAAGTGTGTTTAGAAAATGTCCAAATCTTGATGTTCCTAAACTGGCACAAATATATCTATTCTATAATGGACTGTGCGCTGAATTTCGCAATATAGTTGATGCTTCTGGGGTGGATCAATTTTGAATATCGAGGTGCATGATGTACATAATTTATTTGAGAGGATTGCTGAGAATCAAGCCAACTGGCTAACAGATAGGGAAGCTCCGAGAAAAATAGCTGGATTGCATAATGTGGACACCGTGACAGCATTGGCAACGCAGATGGAAACAATAACAAAGAAGCTTGATACTTTAACTCAATCTGTGCACATGGTACAACATCCAGCTCCGATATGCACAAATTGTGGGGCAGATCACATCACTTCAAACTGCCCTTTGGCTTCTACTCACATGGATCAGTCAGTAGAGGTCAGTTATGCGTAGAACTATCAGAGGCAAAATGAATCTTACCTATACAATACAACTACCATCCGGGTTTGAACAAGCATCCCAACTATTCGTGGGTGGATAATCCAGATCAAGTAAATCAAATGAAGGGCAATCCACCAGTAATTCAGCAACAGCAAGGTAAGAGGCAATCCTTGGAAGATCTACTGGTCACGTACATCACCAAGACTGAAACAGTAATGCAGAATCAACAGGCTTCCATCCATAACCTAGAAAATCAGGTGGGACAGATAGCAGCTGCATTAGCCAACAGACCACAAGGTACCTTGCCCAATAACACAGAGAAGAACCCACAGGAGCAGGTATTAGTAGCTGAGGCAGTAAATTATGCAACTATCGAACTCCCATCTACCACATCCACTATCCCTGTCAAAGCTTGTAACGACCCAAAAAAAATGTGTTTTGTTTCGTTTCAAATATAATTTTCTTATAGGACTCAAATATAATTTGGGTTATATTATTATGTCGCTACGACACTTCCTAATAGTTCAAATTAAATTTTGGTCACGAAAGTAAAATTTCGCATACTTAATTTTCTTAAATTTTACAAGGTGTTAAAATCACTTTTAACCGACAAAATTTTATATTTTACATTATTTTTCTTACGACACACTTTATTTTAATACTACCATTTTTGTTTCCATTATCTAAACTATTTTTTTTTTTTTTTTGAAATTGGACAAATTACTTGCATGTTTCATCATCCATCATTTATGCTCCAACTTATCATTTTAATAAACTTCCATTTTTGTCAATGCCAAAACCGTCCCCGATCATTCATTTGAAAATAAAATTACAACTCCAATTTTTATCCATTACCCCCACTTTATTATCCATTGTAACCTCCAATTTTAACCACCCCTATCTTAGCATATTAATCTTCATTTTGTTAACTGCCAACAATTATCATTTTAACTCCCCACTAACCATTTTTTTTTAATTTCCCCACATCAGTTAACTGCCGGCCACATCATTTGAAATATATAAAAAAAAGGGGTCCCTTTATTTTTAAATCATAAGTTTGTTTTGATAACTCAAATTTAAAAACTTTTTTAGCCCCATTTTCTCCCCTAATTCTTTTGCCCATTTTCCATAAACTAAAGTATCTTTAGACCTGAAAATTTATTTGAAGAAGAGGCAAGAAGTACGCTACATTTTAGATCTATTTATTGAACATGAAAAGGGTATTCAAACTCCAAACATCAAGGTAGGGTTGTTTCGACACTTATGTAAGTGATGTAAGATTTATATATTTTCGTTTGCATTAAATGTGTTATTGTGTTGCTCATGATGGAATCACTGTTTGGTGGTTTAAACAAGAGATGAGGAGATGATTATGACAAATGAAATGGGGTTATCAAAACCTAAGAGTAAGCGGACTGACTGATCACCAATTCGCTTAAAATTGACGATGACATGAGCGGACTGACTGATCACCAATTCGCTTGAAATTGACGGTGATACAATTGACCAAAGTTTGTATTTCTGAAAATATTTATTTTTACCGTTTACTTAAGTGTTTCCTACTGAGTATTATTTATAGTACTCATCCCTATAAATAATTTTACAGGTTAAGATCGAGGCATGGTAGTGGTTGGCATAGTGGCAAGTGTTCGACAATCTCTAATGTTTTCAATTTCTAGTGAATATTTCTATTTATGTAAATATTTTATGGAACTTAGATGAACTTTTAGAAATGCTTTTTAATGTTTATTTTGTTCCATTTTTAGAAAGTGCATGTTAACAAGAATTTAAAAGTGTTGGATTGATTTGTATGAAATTTTATTTTATGCTGGGTGGAAATTTCAATTTCTGTCCTTCTAGTTGAAAATAGCATAACTTGGGCTACAGTGCATGTTTTAAAGTGAAATTATTGAGTTTGAAAGATCCATGAATCTTCTAATTGTAGCCTTTGGAATTTCCTTAAAATATTATCTAGAGAAAATGTTATGCCCATTTTAGTAAATTGCGTCGTGTCGAATCCGAGATTCCAGCATACTCGAGTAATATTTTCGTGCTTCAAACGTTATCGTCGAAACCCTAAATTTTTATATGTGGTACATATATGAATGCTTTAGTCTCTGTAAAAATTTTAAAAATTTTAATAGACATTTGTTAGGCCAAATATATTTTTCTTCCGCTGTTGTTAAATCCGTAATTGTCGATTTGTCTTCAAATCTTAAAAAAAAAAAAAAAAAATCAAATTTTGCTACATTTTCTTAAGTTATATAGATAACTACCTTCCAATATATTTTTATATATTTTAAAAAAAAATTGGATTTATAAAATACTTTGGCTAGCGTCAAAGGGGTTGAACCAAAGAAAGAAACGAATATTATTTTAACGCTTCGGTATTTCGAGAATTCAGGGCGTTACAAAGCTTATGTGCCACCCATTCCATTTCCTCAAAGACTTCAACGCCAGCCAACAACAGAGCAGGTTTAGGCCATCACTACTAGGAGTGGTGTTCAATTGCCAGAAATTACTGTAACGAGGAAGGAGACAGAGAGAACTCAAATGCCTACTAAGGATAAGGAACCGATGGAGCAATCTGAAGAAGCAATAGAAAAGGACCAACAGACAGTTTCAGACAATCCACAGCTTAAGGCAAATATTTTTGGCACTTCACTGACACCTCTAGTCCCGTTTCCTCAAATGTTACAGACGACCAAATTGGAGAAGCAAACTATGAAATTCCTGGAAGTCCTCAAAAAGTTGCATGTCAACATTCCATTCATTGACGCTATCCTTCAAATCCCAAACTATTCTATGTTTTTGAAGGAGATGTTGACTAAAAAGAGGAAGATGCCCGAGCATGAAATAATAACACTATTTAAAGAGTGCAACGCGATCATCCAGTACAGAATCCCTTCCAAACTTAAAGATCTAGGGGGTTTCACTCTACCTTGCTCCATATGAAACTTACAAGGTATTAATTGTTTAATTGAGTCAGGAGTAAGTATCAACTTAATTCCTTTACCTCTTTACAGGAAATTGGGATTGGGAGATCCTAAGGCAGCTTCTATCATCCTTTAGCTGACAGACTGAACATTGAAACATCCCTATGGAATAGTTGAGGACATGCTCATCAAGACAGGAGAATTTATTTTTCCGGCAGACTTTATGATTCTAGACATAGAAGAGGCATCACAAATTCCAATAATACTAGGAAGGCCATTCCTGTCAACAAGTTGGGCATTACTTGATTTTGATACAAATGAGATAGTCCTGAGGGTGGAGGATAAGCAACAAAGCTTCACTATGGAGAATCCAATTAAGCAACCATCATATTTTGAGGATTGCCAACGAGTTGATCACTGAGAGAGTTACAAAGGCCGGCCAGATGTAGGTAGAATTGTTGGTAGGGATAACAATGAAAACTTGATCATGTGGCGAATGAAAGATAAAAGAAAGAAGTGCAACTAGTGCTTAAAATACAGGGATGAAAATTCTCTTTTCAAGCCACCACAAAGTCTAGCTAAAGACTATAAATTAAGCGCTTATTGGAAGGCAACCTAATAGTTCTATCCATTTCATTTCATTTTATTTTATTTTACTATAATTAGAATAGTTTAAGATAATTTAGATTAATTTTTATTTTAGAGACTCATCATCCATACTACGTTTTCTCTTAGGTCTTTGAAATTTAGTGGTTTATTAGTTATTTGAGCTAAGTATCACGTGTTCTAGGTTATTTGATCTCTAATTTTTTATTTAACTACCATATGCAAGAACATGATGTCGCAAAATACTCAAACCAACATAGACCAAGGGGAAAACATGATGAAGGAGAATGTCTAACAGTTGCCCAAAGTGCGTTCTACGTTCAACAGGAAAATTCGAGGAGTACCTTTTTCCTTTCATTTCCCGTCCCCTTACATTTTCAATTATGTTTTAAGACATTGAGGACAATGTCAAGTTTAAGTTTAGGGTTTGGAAAAACTTTTTGAGTTTTTTATTTTTGTATGTTTTTGTGTGTTTCTTTAAAAATAAATAAATAATAAATTCGTTAAAATTTCTATTTTTGTGCGTTAAAAAAATTATCTATTTATTTATTTTTGTTTGTTTGTGTGCTTGTGTGGGTTAGACAGTTTGGCTTACTATAATGATTAAATTTGAGGTTTGATATTGATTTATAAACTGTGGATAAGATGCATGCTAAACTAATTGAAAGTCAACGTTGCAAGATTTGATATTATACATGCACTAGAATTGAATTTGACATTGTGATGAAATGAGTTGATTTATATGCTTGATAGGTTGATTTAATCGGACATAGACACTTACCCATACCATACAAATTATTTATCTTTAGACCAAATTTAGCACAATTTGGGGATGATTTTGCTGTTGCAAAAAGATACGGATGTGGACAGGGATTTCATGTGTGAAAACTTATGTGTGGATTGTCTTAAATTAAGAGGATAAAATTGGGTAAAAGTTTTGAGTTGGAAGTCGATTTGATTGAATAAGTGTGTGATAAAGGGCATTGCACTAATCAAGTCATATATTTTGAAATTTAAAACTTCTCTCTAAAACCTTTATGACTCGAATAATTAAGCTTGCAAGGGTATCTTAAAACCTGATGCCCTAAAGTCGTCTGACTTGGGAGTTATCGGCCTAAACCTTGTTACAGGGGTCATTTAGAAAACAATCAGAGATGACGTTACACTTGAAAAAAAAAAATTGTTCTCTTTGAAACCTTTTTGACTCAAGTTATTAAGCCTGTAGGGATATCTCAAAATCTGGTGACCTAAAGTCATCTGATTTGGGAGTCATCGGCCTAAAGCCTGGTACAGAGGTCATCTAGAAAGCTTAATGGAGAGAAAAAAACTCTTAAAAATCAGAAAAAGCAAGTGCATGGAAAAAGTAGAAGCACTAAATACCTTGTTAAGTCCTAACACTTATTCAAGAAAATTTAACTTTCGATTAAAGATAATTAGCCTAATTGAGTCTTGGCGGTCGAAATAATCAAATTAATTGAAAATCCTTGCTCAATGATGTATTGACTTGCAACCAGTGATGTCCACGTGAACTAGAGAGGGTAAGGATAGTAATGCAAAATTCAACCTTAGATCATACGTTGGGAAAATAGTGAAAAAGAGGGTATGTGAATCTTATGAGAGATGAAAGGATATATTTGACCATAGAGGGTCGGGAATTGAAACAATTTGTGAAATCATTAATGTCTACTTAATTTTTCACACACACACGTCAATTTTGCATTGGAAGAGTGGATATTGGTTTTATATTGTGACTTTGAAGCAGTTTATAGATTTAATACGGTGATCTCGAATTCTGTGATAAAAAGTTAGATTGTCCAACCAAATATTTTTGCATGCTTGTATGTTTGTTATTAGTTAGGTTATATTTTTGTTTGAGGACAAACAAAGATTTAAGTTTGGAGGTTTGATAAGTGTAGTTTCTACACTTATTTGAGATCTTAGAGAGGTGTATTCAATTGAGACTTTTAAAGACTTTGGGAGACTTTTTAAAGTGAATGACTTTTGTGGACTTTGTAGAATTTTAAGTGATTTCTATGGATTTGATAGGAATTAATAAAAGTTTTTCCTGAATTTGTGGAGACTTTTATTAGAGACTTTTAAAGACTTTGAAGATTTTTTATATTTTTTAAAAGAATATATTAAACATATATAATGTAATATGTTTAACAACTTCTTATATATTCAAACCGTCTACAACTCATATAATTGAAAATGTAAAGTAATAAATCGTATTTTTTATGTCAATTTTATTCCAAACAAAAAAAAACAAATATTTCGCCAAACATAAAGTACTTTTTCATCTTATATCAAGTAGATTAACAAATAATAAAAATATTTAAAAAATAGTATTTTAGTAATGATCAACCAAAAAAAAAAAATCAAACAATTCCAACATCATTCCACATGTCCGCTGCTAAAGCAGCCCTCCATGCATTAGCATTCTCTCTTTCTTGTTCTTGACTCTCAAAAAATGGTCCAAAATCTTCCCCCTCATTAATTGAAAAAGATGAAGACTCTTCATTATCGAGGTCGATTGGAAATTCATCAGACCGACATTCTTTCCGGAGAAAATTGTGTAATCCTGCACAAGCTAATACGAGTTCGGCTTGTGTACGATATGAAAATGGAGGAACTGTTTTGAAAATTGTGAATCTTGATTTAAATATACCAAATATCCTCTCAACTATGTTCCTCAAGGAAGCATGACGAAGATTAAACAACTCTTTTGTATTTTCAGGGTCACGACCTTGACTATCTTGAAGATGATAACAGACACCTCAAAAAGGAGTTAAAAACTGACGTCAATTTGGAAATCCACAGTCTCCCAAAAAAATTTACCTGAATATAAAATACTTGTAAAATTAACAAGTAATTACGAAACAAAAAGATAAAAAAATATATGAAATAATAAAGTCGTACCTTGTGGCACTTTAAGTCCATTTCTCCTTGTTAAAGCATCACTCAACACTTTAGAATCATGTGTTGATCCCTCCCACCCACTAATCACGTATATAAATTCCAAATCAAAGTTACAAGCGGCCAAAATATTCTGAGAAATTGTTCCATGACGATTTCTGTAACTGCTTGAATCACGTCCAGTTACCATTGCTGGAATATGGGTACCATCAATAGCTCCAATACAATCCTAAAAATAATAAAACAGTACAACGAATTCACAAGAACACTAATGAAAACATAAAAAAAAAAATAATTATAATACGTCTTATTTAATCACTTACCTTAAAGTAAGGATAAAATATCGTACTTTCCCTTATTTTTTTGGCACAACGGATCCCGGTTTGACCATCATATCTACCACAAATTTGTTTAATGTCTGTAAAATCTTGTTGAAACTTCGGCTAGTAGTGAAATGTGATCGACCAAATTTTTGACGAATCAAGCAATATCTAGTATTTTGACCAACAATAAATAGGAACGTTGCAAGCATTTCTTCAACACAAATATACCTAGTATCCTGTAAGGGTGTTTTTTCTCTAATGATATTCTTAATTTTAGAAATATATCTGGATACATTCTATAAATTTGTCGAAAGTCTTCTGGATCCTCCTTTAATATTTTATGTATATAGTCATATCCATATGTAGTTTTTGGTCGTCTAGTTAGTGAACGTGTAATACGTGCACAATGCATATTTTTTACAAGATCATTTATCACAAAGAGAATTCCTTGAATTTCCATCCATAAATACCGTCTGGTTTCATGTAATGCTTCCTTATAGTCATCTTCTTCATTCTCATGCACTTCTTTTTCATGATCTTCATGTATGTTAACATTAGCATTATATATATGGAAGTACCTAAACATAGAAGGAACAAAAATTTAATACATAAACAAAGATAACGATAATGTCACGTAAAATGAATCAATTGTCATCAAATTAATAAAATATCAAAACAATACAACCAATAAATCAAACAAAAAACAATTCAAAAACTTCAAAAGTTACTGCCAATCGTATCCCAAAAAAAAAAAAACAAAGCCTCAATTTAATTTAAATGTTATCCATTTAGAACGTTCTTCGAGCGTCATGCTCAAGAACTCAGACTTTTTTGCTTTTGTATTAAGCAAATCAAGGACCTTGAAACGATCATCATCATCCAAGTTTGGGATCTCCTTGATAATGTTCCAACAATTAGGCTCTCTGGTGTCAATTGATTCAATTGCTTGAGTGATCTTGCCAATTGTACTAGCAAGTTTGTCTATAACGTTTGATTGAGTGCTTTTGGGCTCAAACGAACTAGATTTTGCTCCAAATCCTGTTCTACTTCGTTTTCGAATTGATGGGGAAACCTCTGAACTTTTAAAATCTTGCTTATCGGATACTATAAATGCTTCAGTATCAGGATCATACATGAAGTCGTCTATTAAACTGTCACGAACTCTTCTTTTTTCAGTATAAGAAGTTCTTGCATCAGTATCATCCCCTAATGCAATTGAGTGTGTCCCAACAACTGTCCCACTTCCAACTGCAATTCTCAAATCCTCATAGTCTGGAAAAGTATATGTGCGATAACTTTTATCTTCAGGATGTGACAATTAAAGGAAAAAATAAGTATGAGTGCTAATATATGAAACATACACTTCACTAACCAATAACTCAAATTTCATATGTTTCTAAATCAAGTAGTAAAGGAAGCTCACCATAAAGTAATCGTCCCATACTTCATCACTAACAGTGAATTTCTTCGTCACATGATCCCATCCGAACCCAGAGTTATGGTGCATAAGCTTAGAATACTTGTTGTACTGTTTTTTAAACCATTTCACACGACTTTTATACTGGGCATAAGTCTT